ATTCATAATGCAAAAGGATAGCAGTCATTCTCAACTGCAGGTATGTGTTCACCCCTCCCATGCCTGGGAACATTTGGCAGTGTCTGGAGACACTTTTGATTGTCACAAAGTGGGGGAGGGGAGGGGAGGGGTGCTGCTGGTATTTAGTGGGCAGAGGGTAGGGGTGCTGTTGAACATCCTACCATGCACCCAGCAAAGAATTGTCCAGCCCCAAATGTCAATTGTGCCAAGGTAAAGAAACCGTGAATTATTATTATTATTATTTTTTTATCCTCACCTGAGGACATTTTTCCATTTTTGTTCAGATAGAGCAGGAGGGAGAGAGAGAGGGAGAAACATCAACGTGAAAGGGACACATCAAGTGGCTGCTACCCACACAACCCAACCAGGGCTGGGGACAAACTGCAACCGATGTATGTACCCTTAGCGGGAACCGAACCCAGGTCTCTCTGGACCACAGGTCGACTCTCTAACCGCTGAGCCAAACCAGCCAGGGCAAGAAACCGTGAATTAAATTAAATCTCTAAGATTCCAATCAGGTTCCCAAATTATGTGTATATGTATTTATTTTTTTACTGAAATACTCCTGTGGCCTGCTACATAGTAATTGGGAAAAGGTCGGTGCCACAGGCTAGCATCACACCCTCAGTGCACTAGAAAACCAAAAGGAAGACTTGAAAGAATAATCTGGATAATTCAAACCAAAAATATCTTTTCTTTTGATTATTGCTCAAACATATTAAAAATCGGATTTTAAAAACTTATTTTTTATTGAGTTGTAATTGACATATAACATTGTGTAAGTTTCAGGTGCACAACATGTGGCTTTGATAACATTGTATATTGCAGTATGATTACTATCATAGCATTAGCAAACACTTTTTTTTTTTTTTTTTTTTTTTAATCCTCACCCGAGGACATTTTTCCATTTTTTGTTCAGGCAGAGTGGGAGGGAGAGAGAGAAACAGAGGAATAGAGAGAGAGAGAGAGAAACATCGATGCGAAAGGAACACATCGAGTGGCTGCCACCCGCACAACCAACCAGGGCCGGGGACAAACTGCAACCAAGGTACGCGCCCCTAGCGAGAACCGAACCCGGGTCTCTCGGGACCGCAGGTCGACACTCTAACCGCTGAGCCAAACCGGCCAGGGCACATTAGCAAACACTTTTATGTCACATAATTATTTCTTTTGTGTGTTGAGGACTGTTAAGATTTTCTCTCTTAGTAACTTTAAAGTTTATAAGTATTATTGATTATAATCACTTTGTTGTGCATCAAGTCTTCAGAACTTATTTATCTACTAATAACACATTTGTACCCTAAATAAAACATCTCCCTGATTTCATCACCCCCAACCACCTGGTATCCGCCATTCTATTCTGTTTTACAAGCTCAGTATTACTAGATTCCACAAATATGTGTTATTTGCCTTTCTCTATCTGACTTACCTTACTTAGCATAGTGCCATCAAGGTCCATGCATATTGTTACAAATAGCAGGATTTCCTTCTTTCTCCTGGCTGAATAATATTCCATTGTGTGTCTATGGAATTTTCTTTATCCACTCATCCATTGATGGACACCTAGGTTTCTTTCATATTTTGCTGATTGTGAATAATGCTGCAGTGAACATGGGGATACAAGTATCTCTTCAAAACATTGGTTTCAAGTTCTTCAGATATATACCTGGAGTGGGGAGGCTGTATTCTATGGTAGTTCAATTTTTAGTTTTTTGAGGAATCGCCATACTGTTTCTATAATGGCTGTACACTCATCCCTTGTCACTTCATGCTTTGACTTTTGCAGCTTCACTCTATCACAGTTTTTTCTCTCTATTGCGGTTGTTTTAAAAAAAAAAAAATACGCGATAGAGTGAAGACATGAAAGTCAAAATGCGAAGTGATGAGGGACGACTGTATAAATAAAGAATCGTACTTTGTGGAAATTCATTTATTGCAACAGAGTCTGGAACTGATTAACCACGATAAACGAGGGCTGACTGTACCAATTTATTGCCTCACTATAGTGTACAGGGGTTCCCTTTTCTCCACATTCTCACCATTTGTTATCTTTTTTTTTTTTTTTTAATCCTCACCTGAGGACATTTTTTCTATTTTTTGTTCAGATAGAGTGGGAGGGAGAGAGAGGAAGAGAAACATCGACGTGAAAGAGACACATCGAGTGGTTGCCACCCACACGACCCAACCAGGGCCGGGGACAAACTACAACCGAGGTACATGCCCTTAGCGGGAACCGAACCCGGGTCTCTCTGGACCGCAGGCTGACGCTCTAACCGCTGAGCAAAACTGGCCAGGGCCATTTGTTATCTTTTTAATAATTCATTCTAACAGGTATGAGGTGATATCTCATTGTGATTTTGATTTGCATTTTTCTGATGCTTAGTGATGCTGAGCATCTTTCCATGTTCCTGTTGGCCATCTGAATGTCTTCTTTGCAATAATGTCTATTCAGATCCTCTGGCAAGTTTTAAATCAGATTGATTTTTATTATTGAGTTGTAGTTTGGGTATTAACCCATTATCAGATATATGGTTTGTGAATTTTCTTTCCCCTTCTTTGGGTTGTCCTTCAATTCATGGACGGCTTCCTTCGCTGCGCAAGAGCTCTCTCGTTTGATGTGGGCCCACTTGTTTGTTTTAGCTTTTGTGGCCTGTGCTTTTTATGACTATCCAAGACGTCATTGCTTAGACAAAAGATCATTTATCCTATGTTTTCTCCTAGGAGTTTATGGATTCAAATCATACATTTAAGTATTTGGTTCATTTTGAGTTTATTTTTGTGAGTTGTGTAAGGTAAACGTTTGGTTTCATTCTTTTCAATGTGGCTTTAGTTTTCACACCATTTAGTGAAGAAATTATTCTTTCTCCATTGTATAATCTTAGCTCCTTTGTTGTAAATGAATTGGCCATACATGCATGGGTTTATTTCTGGTTGCACCGTTCTGTTCCATTGCTTTATGTGTCTGTTTTAATGACAAAACCACATTTGATTACTATAGCTTTGTAATATAATTAGACACTGGGGGCTGTGAGGCTTCCAGATCTGTTCTTTTGCAGAATTGTTTTGGTTTCTGTGGGGTATTTTGTCATTCCATACAAATGTTAGGATTGTTCTGTTTCTCAGGGAAACATCATTGGAGTTTTGATACAGATTGCACTGAATCTATAGATTGCTTTGGATAGTATGGACATTTTTTTAAATTTAGTTTTATTGTTGAGAGTATTACAGATGTCCCCCATTTACCCCAGCCTTTCCCACCTCAACCCAATTCCCCCTGCACCCCAGGCCTTCACTGCACTATTGACTGTGTCCATGGGCTATGCATCTATGCATATAAGTTCTTTGGTTAATCTCTACCCCCCACCCCACTTCCCTCTGAGATCTGTGAGTCTGTTCCATGCTTCCATGTCTCTGGACCTATTTTGTTCTTTTGTTGTTGTTGTTCATTAGATTCCATATGTAAATGAGATCATATGATATTTGTCTTTCTCTGACTGGCTTTTTCCGCTTAGCATAATAATCTCCAGGTCCATCCATGCTGTCACAAGGTTAAGAGATCCTTTTTACTTATCCCATTGTATAAATGTACCACTATAATTTTATCCATTCATCTACTGATGGGCACCTGGGTTGTCTACAGATTTTGGCTATCATAACTAAGGCTGCAATGAACATAGGGGTGCATATATTCTTTCTGGTTGGTGTTTCAGGATTCATAGGATATGTTCCCAGAAGTGGGGTCACTGGGTCAAACAGCAGGTCTATTTTTAATTTTGAGGAACCTCCACACTGTTTTCCACAGTGGCTGCTCCAGTCTGCATTCTCACCAGCAGTACACTAGGCTTCCCTTTTCCCCACATCCTCACCAGCACACACAAAAAAATGAAACTACACCACCAAACACCATACGCAAGAATAAATTCAAAATAAATAAAAGACTTAAATGTATGTCATGAAACCATGAAAATCCTAGAAGAAAATGTAGGCGCCAAATCTCAGACATCACACGTAGTAGAATTTTCACCAATACATTGCCTAGGGCAAGAGAAACAAGAAAAAAATAAACAATTGGGACTACATCAAACAGAGCCCTTTTCTTATATCAAGGATTCATAAAACAGATCCTGTACTAAATAGAGCCAGACCCACTATCCCCAAATCCATTATTTAATTGAAACTTTGCATAAGGTTGCCCTGTAGGCTTGGGCTGAGCCAGGCCAGAGGAAGGGTCTGAGAGAAGCAGACCCAGGTGGAATGGAGGCCCCCAGTTTCGACCTGCTGAGCTGCAGGAAGGGTGAGAGAGCAGGAGGACAGGGTGAGGATTTAAGGTGCAGCTGCTTGTCTGCACTCTGTGGGCATCCAAGGGATTAGTCAGTAGTCACAGCTCCCTTTCCTGTGCAGTCTCTGAAAGGCAAAATATACAGTCGGTGGTTCCTAATAGCAAGTAGATAAATGCTAATCTGATAGCCCCTCACTCACTGAAGATGTGCCACCTTGAACCATGGCCAGCCCTAGGGTGTGTCCTGGTGATCACATGCGTGCAGGAGTCAAGTCCCGTGTCCAGCTGGTCTGAGACTGTCTGTGCACATCCCAGCCCGATCGCTCTCGGCGGCAATATTCCCAAACAGTCGTGCAGTGGTTGGAGGAAAGAACTTTCAAGCATTCTTTTTGCCTTTACTGGTAATTCTTGCCTTCTCCCAGCCAGGCCCTCATTCTTTTGGCTGATCTGTTGAGTCCTCTGCAGGTGTGCTCAAAGTGTTATTCACTGTTGTGACAAGGGGCTGTGTCTCCTCCTAGGTCCTGACTGATATCACCCCAAACCCTGCTCCCTCTGTCTCTGCTTTAGAGTTTGGACAATGAACTTGATTGCCATGACATAGCTAGAAGTTTCCAATTATGAGAAATTGTGTTTCATGATGTGTTTGACAATAAATCACCTCCCCAGGTGACTAGTGGGATGTGCGTTCTTCCCCCTACAGGCACAAAGAATGCACAAGAAGTTTCCTAAGCCCAGCAGAGCCCACCACTCCTCAGAGCAGAAACCTCACTCCACACCTTCCCCGAGCTCCGCCGCACCGAGCTATGCACCTGGCAGTGGCCAGCAGCCCCCACTGGACAGGCCACACCTGGAGCCCAGCCAGATGGTCCTGCCTGCTGGGCACCAGCAGGAATTTGCCAAACAAGCAAGCAGCACCCCCAGCCTTCCCTGGTCTTTCCAGAGAAGCAAGTCCTTGTTTTGTTTGCCCACAGAAGACCCCTCTCCAGCCTCCTCAGCTGTACCACAGTGTTTTTCAAACACAAGTGCCCTGCGGCACTGGACATCGCAGTGGAGACAGGGCCACCTCCTCTCCATTGATGACTTAGAGGGGTCCCAGGAGACAGATGTGGACACCGGCTTGCGGCTGTCCTCCTCGGACCTGTCTGTGGTCTCTGCTTATTCTGCACCCAGTAGATTCTGCAGCACCTTGGAAACACCCTCCTCCTCTGAAAGACGTGGCAGCCACTGCTCCAAGCACAAAGGTTCCAGAGAAGGACCAGTACCCACTGGAGGTGGGATGACCGTGGAGACCTCCTGGGCTTCCCTCCCTCTCTTCACCGAAGGGCCTTCCAGCTCCTTGGCAACAGCAGTTGCTGCTCTCCCAGCTCCTGGTGCCACCTCCCTCACAGGGTCTTCCTCCAAGCTCCCTGGTGATGCTTCCAACACCGAGCGGACTGGCCGAGACATCGCAATACCCCCAGCATTGGCTGGACCCGGGGACAGTGACACAGAGGAATTCTATATCTGAACACCTTCTACTCTGGTGTTTCCAGACACACAGGCTCAGCTTCCCCGGGTCTATCGGAACCTAATTATCTGTTTCACAGGCTCATTAGCATGTTTGCCATGCCACAGCTTGAAGACAGCTGTAAACATAAATCAGGCTACAGTCATACTGCACTTGGATGCTTTGCAACATCTGAAAATCTGGATTACACTCAAGTGGCTAATATGCTTTATAAGGATGTAACATGAGTAGCAGACTCTTGGTGCATTTAAAACATGATTTCAGTTCTAAAACCTAGGGTTGCATTCACCTTTCAACAACACATTCACTGTAACGAGTAAGGGCTGCAGGAGACCACTCCACCACCTGGATTCATTTGGCTCACTGAGCAGGAATCATTCATTGCAGTTACAGAATAATAGGATTTAGACATTGTGGGTGGGAAGTCTTTGGATTCTTCAATTTTAAAAACTGCAATCTAAGGGCTGTGTATCTATATAGCTGTATAAATGACAGGAGCACATTTTATATTGCTTTCTCCAGTAAATATGCATTGTCACCTTGTCTTCTTCGTTTTTTTTAAATAATCTGTAACATTGTAGCCAGCATTTCAGTTGCCCCCGGGAAGCTTTACACAACATCCGCCCTGAACAAACACTGTTGCAGTGCTGGCCCTGCACAGGGCACAGGCGCCTCATTGCCTCTGGAGCTCTCACCCACCTTGGCCCTCCTGCCTGTTGTCGCCTCTGTCACAATGCGAATGGTACTTAAATCTCACCTCTTGCTTCAGTAAGGGTGCGGTTACAGTTCCAACCTCAGCAGTGCCAAGTGTGGGCATCAGGGCAGTGCCGAGCTGTCCCTGGTTTCTGCTTACCTTTGGGGAAGAAGAGCATGTATTTGCCTGCTCATTTCCCAGTCTGGGGCACCTCGCCGATGTACTCAGCCCACTTCCACCTCTCTGGATGTGCCCATGCCAGTCCAGACAGAGCCTCGGAATCCTTCACACGGCTCTCCAGGCAGCTGTTACCAGTCATCGGACTGGCACTGAAGCCTCAACCTTTGCCATCCCTTAAATGAAAGCCTTAGATCTTCCCCCAAACATCCTGGATATTCCAGGACTCCAAAATACAATATTCTGCTCCAGTTTAAGTAAATAAAAATATGGTCTCATACAAATATCACATGATCTCACTTATTTGTGGAATATAATGAACATTATATTCTGTGGATATATAATGGATCAGGGTAGACCCAGAGACGTGGATCAGGGTAGACCCAGAGACGTGGAAGTGTGGTACAAACTGACAACCCTCAGTAGAGGGGGTGTGGGGGAGGGAAGAGATAAACCACAACATATATGCATGTATGCATAACTGATGGACATGGACAATAAAGCTGGGGACAGGGCCGGGGGGATAAGGAGGAGACTGTCAATGGGGAAAAAAGGAGACATATCTGTGACAAAAATAAATTAATTTTTTAAAAAGTTTTTAAAAAAAGTAGAAAGGGAAAAAAATATATATATATATACATACATACATACACACACACACACACATATATATATACATATACATGGTCTCATAATTCTAGACCAGGAGTAAGCAAACTTTTTCTGGAAAGGGCTAGATAATAAATATCTTAAGCTTTGCCAGCCTAAAGGTCTCTATGGTAACTATTCAACTCTGCTATAGCATGAAAGCAGCCATGGACAATATGTAAATGAGTGGGAGTGGCTGAGTTCCAATGAAACTTTATTTACAAGAACAGGTGGAGGGCCATATTTGGCTCAAGAGTTGTGGTTTGACAATCCTTGTGCTAGACTGAGGTTGATTTAAGACCCCAGCCACAGTCAACAATAAGAATCTAGGTCTGCAACCCTCTCCTGCTATGGTGTATGAGGCCAAAAAAGTGGGCTCCTAGAGTCATGAGGATGACTACAGAACCACAAGGTGCAGAGCAGTGAGGGGCTTCTTTCTGCAGAGATGATTCCTAGAAAGCCACTGGCTGTCCACCTCCTGCCCAGAAATGTGACTCACAATCAGTAGCTGATGATGCAGAGCAATAGGCTAACCTTAGAGAGGAGGAGAAAAATAACTCAGAGGTGTTGACTCAGCCTCCAAGGAACAGGGGCCAGCTCAGGCGTAGCAAAAATCAATGAGGAGTAAATGAATGGACCAGTGTCAAGTGATGGCTCCTCCTGTCTTTATCCTTAATTAGTACCCTTAGTTTTGTGTATTCCCATGCACCCTAGAATTGCCTTACAGCCCAACTCTGATGCTCTCTGGCCCCACCCTTCTTCAGGGACCCACCCTTAGCACAGTCCATCCGATCAGAATGACCCCAAAGGATGTCAGCAGCACCACGCAAAAGCAGAAAATGCAAGGTGCCTCCATAACAGAGAGAAGGCAAGGGAGACCCTCCACAGACCACATGCAGGCTCTCCCCTCCACTCCCCTCAGGCCATGGGTGGAAACGGCGACCACCGTGCAGAGGAGACACAGAGCCCCAGCTTCCATTTCTGATTCTACATGAGCCTTTTCTCATCCAGGGGCTCCTGACACTGCTGGTGGATCTGACTCTTGGGTTAGTATTGTTGTGATCGACACTGGCATACTGTAGGTGCTCGATAAATGTGTTCAATTTAATAACATTGAGGTTGCCTCATAAATTATTTCTCTCCTGGAGTAGGCTCTGTGATACAGGAAATCTAGATCTGAGTCCTAATTTTTGGTCATTTAATGGAACCCAGTTTCTTCTTGGCCTTGCACTTTCCCCAGCTTGTCCCAGGGGCCCGTGCTAGTAAGTGCCCTTGTCCAGATCACAGCCCATCCTTTATTTGCCTCTTTTCCAAATAAAACTCCCCAGAATTACTGCTCACGGTCCCAAACATGGCCTACCCTAAACATCACCCAGTATCTGCTTTAATGATCAAACGTTTCTCAGAGTGGTCCCTAACTGACCTGCTGAGCCCTACAGAACTCATCTTGAGTCACTCCAGTTGGGTCACCCATGGAGGTATGGTGGGGAGCCACCAAAGAGGCTTTTGTGATGATGGGAGGACTGATGTGTCACCATACTAAATGAGCCATAGAGCTGAATGCTTGAGCCCAAGGGCCCCACTGCAGAACAGTCACATGGGAGTCTACTGGACTGTCTAGTGCATTCCAGGTGAGAACTAATGCTTGCTTTTGTCAGGAAGACATTTGAGTTCATAGCTGATGTCTTCAGTGCCAAATAAATCAGGAGAAATGCAGGTATCTTTCTATCCCCCTACTGGGCTTTCTGTAGATGAATGAATTTTCCAAATCCTCCACTAAGAGGAGACTGAGTAGACTCAGAATTCTTGGAAGAGATTCTTCAAAGCAAAGTACCTGGAGAATTTCTCCCAAACCCACGGAACAGTATCAACGACCAGATCCCAGGGCTGAATTTGGGGATAGCAGTGGGAATAGCTGAACAGTCACCTTCCACCTCTCTGCCCAAGGACATATTGCTCCCTGTGCCTGATTTGGACATAAACGCTCCTCCCTATTTGTGGGGTTCCACTCCTCTTTAATCTTCTGGGAATACAATTGGTGAGATACTGCAGGGGCTTGAGGAAATAACAAGAGAAATCACAGGAATAAAAATGTCACAATTATAACAAATCAACTCATGAGGGGTCAAAGAACCTGAGTTTAAAGATTTTCATATACAGTGATACCTCGGTTCTCGAACATAATTCGTTCCAGGAGGACGGTCGAGAACCAAATTGTTCGAGAACCGAAGCAATGAAACCCAATAAGAAATAATGGAAACTGGATTAATTCGTTCCAAGCCCCAGAAAATGCCTATTTACTGGCCTAATTTGTATATAATATGTAGAAAAACATAAGTCTCAACAAGAAATAAAAGTGTACAGTATGTCTAAGGGTTAAATTCAGTGTAAAGCGTGACTCTCTCCACAAAGCGTGACTCTCTCCACAAAGCGTGACTCTCTCTCTGCACTCACACTGATGACGCAAGCAAGGCGCGCTGGGCCGAATGAACGCCATTCGGCTCAACTCGGCTCATCTCGGAAGTTCGAGTTCCAAATATTTGTTCGGATTCCGAGACAAAAGTTTCTCGAATCTCCTGGTCGAATACCGATTTGGTCGAAATCCGAGGCGTTCGAGAACCGAGGTATCACGTAATCAACATTCTTCCCATTTCTACTGAAGGCTTTTATCAAGTCTTGGGCATAGAGGCCTACATACAAATGACTTCAAATGACATAATTTACCTGAGTGAATAGTGGAGGCAATATGAATGGTAATGTCAGCACAGTTGGGTCTTTTTAACAGTCAGTTTCTATTTTAAAAGTGTGCTATTGTCCAGTTATGTGGCCACTATTAGGAGCATTATATTCATGTCAAACAGAAGAAACCAGAACATTTGGTGAAGCTGAAAATGCCCCTTCCCCATGCCCCTATGACACCCCCCCCAAATTTCTCAATCTGTGATGAGGGTCCCACCTCCAGCTGCCTCAGAGAGGGTAGAAAAAACGGAGCTGCTTCTGAGAACATTATATAGCCCCAGCTGTCCTGCTCTGGTTGGGAGTTGCCCCACCCCATTTAAAACATTAATTATATAAGTTGAGCATCTGAAAGAAGCCAGCTAGACTCCCTTAGGATAGCTCTGCCCAGACCCCAGTGCATTTTGGACAGGAGCCACTCAGAATGTGCGTGGCACAGTTCAAGAAACAGAAGGAAACACTTTCAGGCAAATGGCCTCTGAAGATAGCTGTGGGGAAGCTTTGGTGCCACCTGGTGGCCACCATGCTCAGGAGGGACAGCAACTGCCCTTTCATCCAGGACTCCACCGGGATGAACAGGAGGGAGGCACTTCACTTCCATTCATTATTCTGCATCTAATTATTCCTTCAGTATGGAGGCAACTGAAGTTGCAATGACATAAGAAAATGCAAATAGAAATAGAAAATCAGGGTTAAGAAAAATATAAATATAAATACAAATACAAATACAAACATAAATATAAAT